AATGCTTCAAACTCATTTAGATACCAGATTGTTATAATAAAAAATCATCTTTTAGATACACATTCAGCCAAGATCATCCCCAAGAAACAATCTATAATAACCTTTAAAAAAGACCAGATAAGGGAAAAGTCTCCCCAGGTTTCGAACTCCCATTTAATTGTGACTTCTACATTAGTGGCACCATAGATTTCCCCACAAGTGGACCAGATGTTCTCACATAGGGGCAACTAGAGGTGTAAAATCAAAGGTCTCAGTGTTACTGCATTCAGTGTCCCCTTCTTTTTAAGTAGACAGAAGTGGAGTAATCCTAACAGTGCAGAGAAGGAATGAGGAATTTCCCCAAAGCGAAAATGGCTTTGGCAGCTGCTGGGAGTCCCTCAGTCTCTCCTTTTACTTACAGGATTAGCTCCTTTGGATAGATCCAATCCCAGGCAATCTGGCATATCTCCTAATTTTCCAGTAGAGTCAGTTTTTATCTGCCTTAGGTCTTGAAGGGGGAAGGGGGTATGTACTTTGATTGGCCCAAATTTTCCTGGCATCTCCTGGAGAGGTAATATATTTGGCTTGCCTGTTGGAGCAGACGCAGAGAGGCCAGCAGATGGAGATTTTGTGGGTCCTCCTGATTCTTTTCCTCAGTGAGTCCCCAAGATTTTTTTCTCTTCATGGCAGACATCATTGGTAAGTGTACTCTACACTGTTGGCATAATTTAGGATTTTCCCTTAGAGCAAAGAAAACCTGAACATACGGCACCACACAACATTTCCTTTTTTTTGTAAATTTTATCAAACTGTAAAATTGTATTAAAATTGATATTTCCCTCTGGTGGCCAGGTTTCTCCATCAGAGAGTTTGCATTGAGGCCAGGCCAAGAAAATGAGTTGCTTTTTCTTGAGCGTCTGAGGGTCAAATCTATTCCAATTTTTCAATACACAGGCTAGTGGTGCACCTGGCATTTTGGAGAGAGAAGATCCTATCTGAGTGAGAAGAATACAGGACTCAGGTGCCCGTGCCCTGTGCTGGAGAAAACTGTTCTCATTAGGGACGTCTCCCTAAGCTTGAGCTTTCTAAATGGTCCAGAAAACCCATCTCCCGCCTTTCTTTGCCAAGGGGTTTCTGGTCCCCTTTAGCAAAGTGCTAGGGTCTCAGTTTTCCCTGTGTCAGAGACCCTGGGAGGATTCAGACTTAAGGGCATTACTGCTTATCCTCCGGGCCACTAAGAACCCATTGCAAAAGAGAATCATGCACTCTTTTGTTGCCTTTGCTCCGTAGACTAAAGGAATCGCCTAAGGGTTAAGGGATATCTACTGGTTGTAAGGTAGCAGATTAGCGGAGGAGTTGATTCTAAAAATGCCTCTCTAGCAGCTTAAAGAACACAGCACATTTTAAACATTGGGGCAGTAAAACAGACTAGTGAAAGTTACCTATGCACCTTAGGGAACCTGGGCAGATTTTGCTAATTATCCCATGCCTTTCTCAGTCCTGCAACCTGAATTGCTAACATTTCTGACCTGCGAAGAAAGGGGAGCATCCAGGAGGAATGGATGTGAGGTTGGGAGTGTTGTGTAACCCATATGGAGGCAAATGTGATTGGGGCTTTCCCTCAGTGCCATTCATCTACCGATCACCGATCACCCTAGATACCCCTGAGGGCTGTCGGGAGGGGGCTCAAGAGAAAGGAACCTTAGGAATACGTCTGAGTGTAGCCCAGACCTGGATTCCACAGTTGTTCCAAACTCCTTCCTCCACCTCCACGCATCCGAGGCAGATCAGGATTCCGGACACTGTATACTCACACCAATTGCTCTCCAGGCCCAGACAGAAAAGTTGGAAGCGGCTTTGGCAGAACCCAACATGCCTGCTCTGTATTGAACAGGTGATTGAGAGCTGCCTAGGCCGGGAAACCTCTCACCCGAGTCTTGAAGAGTGGCGGCTGCACTAATTGCGTTTAAGTAGCCGTCGGGTGCCCACCTTACCCTCCAGAAAGAAAGAGAGAGAAAGATGCACCTCAAACAGACATGGGGTGCATGCACTTACCTCGGTGTAGAATCTCGGTCTGGGACCTCCAATGTTACTGCTGTTGACCGGTGACGAGTCCTTGCTTCCCCGATGTTGAAGAATAACACCAAAGAAGCACGCTGAGGCAAGGCCAGAATGGAAAGTAGAAGTTTATTAAAGGACAGCAGAAAAGACTTCTCCCGGAGGAAGAAGGGGACCCAAGAGGTGGAATCTGTGGAAGTGCGGTTGTCTCCCCTTTTTATAGTTTTGGTGATGGAATGTAGGTGGGAAGGCCCGAGGGGTGGGACACAGGTAATCTGGGCAGGAAGGACTTCATTAACACTTCTTTGGGATGGGCTATCTTCAAATCTGCTGGGGCTGTACCTTGGGTTCCGTTAACATTTCTTTGGGGTGGACTTTGGCCTAGGGCCTTTCTGGGACTTCATTAACATTCCATGAGTTGTCCTGCGTTTCCCAGAATCATTCTCAGCATGGCCTCCATTTTAGATTTCACTCGATATGGTATTAGACCCGATTTACTTAACTACACTGACTACCTAACTTTAAATCTGGCTTCAGTGTTACAGTCTGGATCTGGACTGTCCCTAAAGGCTCATGTGCTGACGGGTTGGTCCCCAGGTGGTGGTGCTATTGAGAGGTGGTGGTGCTAAACTTTAGGAGGCAGCCTTGTTGAATGAGATGGGTCACAGGACCCATCAAAGCCTACCTTTGAAGGATGTATTTTGTCCCGAGGCTCTTTCTCTCTCTCCTTCCTGGCTGCCATGAGATGACCAGCTCTGCTCTGCCTTGTGCTCGCCACCATGAGGTTCTGCCTCACCACTGATGGGCTAAGCCCCCTTGAACTGAAACTTCTACAATTGCAAGCCAAAATAAAACTTCAAGTTGATTTTCTCAGGTATTTTTTTCAGAATGATGAAAATCTGACTAATAGGCAGTTATTTTTGGATTCTTTGACAGAAAACACATATACCTCCATTTTGTCAGAATCAATTCTAGAGAGGTTTTTTTTTTTTTTTTTTTTGGTCCCATTTCCTGTCACTTTATATTTGTTGAGACTTTGTGTTTATGTCTATGCATTTGAAAAAAAAAAAAACCAGCCACTTCTCTCAGTTTTTATGCCCAGGCTTCTTGCAGAAGAAAACCTTTGTCAATCACCCTGACTAGAGATTTGAGGAGGTGGCGGTGGGGGGCTGAGCAATCAAACCTTTTCTGTGTATTTTCTTTGTGCTTATTCATATAAATTCCTAGTTAGGAGAATTTGTCAGTTTTCCTCAGAGTTTGCAATCTCTGGCCTTCTCTGATATCTGTCTGCTGTTGGTGCTCTGAGCCGCAGCACAGTGACCAGCTCTTTTGGTCAGTGGCTCCCAGGTATAGAACATGCTGGGTCCTACCCAGGATCCAGGACAAACAAGGCAGAATCCAGTGTCTCAGGCAAACCCCTCAAAACATCTGAAAGCTGGACCTGTGTCTCATTATTCTTTCCTAGGGAATAGCTGAGGTTGTGCATTTCCCCAAATATGTCATGCTGATATAGAGGGAGGGGCTCCTGTAGGTGAATGTGTGGTATTTCAGACATATTTATTCTCAGCAGCTTCCCAGGTACTTGGAGTATGCCAATCCCACTAGCACAGGTGACACAGAAGCCCATCCCTGGGGCAGCCCCATGAAAAGCAGGATTTTGAATGGGTGCCCCAAATATTCCCTTGGTAGAGAGAAGACAGGAATTCAGGGATTTTGCTGCTCACTGTGTGAAGACAAGGAGAAGGACTATTGCCAGTGAGTGTCCAAACCATCACCTTTGATCTCAGCGGCTTGCAGTCTGGATTCCTCTCCTATCAGTGTTTGGATTCAGGCAAAACAAACCAATTCCTTTAGCAGCCTCCAAAAAGCCCAACCCTTGGACCCATGGTCCAGTGTCTTTAGCTCTCATGGCCCCTCATTCCTCTCCTTCAGGAAGTCACACAGTGTTACCTTATTAGCTAGTCACTTGCAACTGATGCTTCTAAAATGAGCTCTGATCAAGTATCTTCTATAAAAATTCCCTGTATTCTAGTAAAAACTTACCATTTTCTGGTTAAAAACAGACAGCTACAAGTTAACCCCTAAGATAAGGTTGCTAGAGTTCTATTTCTGTAAGCACTGGAACTCAATCTAAGCATCTGAAACTCTTCTCCCTCAAAATGCTTCCTTTTCTCTGTTTTCACTTTTAGAGATACTGTTAGTCAAATGACAAAGAAATTCAAACTTTTGAAACCAACGAATAATACCTAACAGAATGAAAAGAAGTTCAGCATCTTAGGGACAGAAGAAAACAGGGTGGACTAAATTTTATTGTCTAAAATCCATATGTTGAAATCCTAACCCCAAATGTGATGGTGTTAGGAGAGAGCCGGGTGGAGAGGGATAATTAGTCATGAGGGTAGAGCACTCCTGAACGTGATTAGTGTCTTCAAAGGCCCCAGAGAGCTCTCTCCTTCTCTCTGCCATATATAGAAACAACAAGAAAATGAAGGTCTATGAACAAGGGCGTGGGCCCTCCTGAGACACCAAATCTGCCAGCTGCTTGATCTTAGACTTCTAGTCACCCAAACTGTGAGAAATAAATGCTTGTTATTAAAAACATCCAGTTCATGTAATTTTATTAGAGTAACCCAAATGGACCAAGGCCATGGTATATGACACCAGCCTTAATCAACAATGCATCTTTTTCAAAAGCAATATATAAAAGAAGTCATTGTTCTTAAGCTGGAAGAAGAGATGTTCTTAGATGTAACTGAGAACATTTGTCATGTCAAAACCCAGAGATTAAAAACCCTGAAGCTCCATTAACGCTGATTACTCCCCTGTCAAACCCCTGGCTTTTCTGCATTTGCAGGGATCTGGCTCTTCTGTGCCAATCAAGGATGAAGATTTCTAGTTCCCCGAACATCGAAGTCCATGTGTTTGAACGTCCAATACCTTTATCCCATCTTTAAGTGACATATGACTGCACTATTATTTACTTTCCTTTATTGATTCAGAAATGGAGCTAATGAATGGTGAAATAATTGGCCCAAGGCACCCTAAGTAAGTATCAAGACCTTAACCCTGTTAATTTGGAATCTCATCCTCACTATGAGCCACTTGCTAGGGTGCTTCTGCCAACAGTTTCAGCACCTCACTCAGATTCCAGCAAAAAAACAGTTAAAGTCAATGCTGAGGCTTTTCCCTTGTATCCGATCCCAAACAGTGTGACAAGATTTGTGTCTATGATCACATATTAACACAGCAAGTATAATAACCACAGAATTAAAGAAAAGAAGGAAAGATTCTTGACAGAACACATCCTTTTTTGCAACGGCTTGTATCAGACATTGAACTCAGGGGCGCTTAACCACGGAGCACCTCAGTCCTTTTTTATTTTGAGACAAGGTCTTGCTAATTTGCTGAAGCTGGCCTTGAACTTGTGATCTTCCTGCTTCAGTCTCCAGAGTTGCTACAATTACAAGCTTGTGTCACTGCACCTGGCGAACACATGTTTTTTTTTTGTTTGTTTGCTTTTTGTTGTTGTTTTTACAGCGGGGAGGGCAACAACTGGAAAAGATGGAGAGAAGTGTGCAAGTTTCAAGGGCAGCAAATATCCTCTTTGTCTTCTGAGTGACTGATGGCCTGAGTAATGTGGACACAGAAGACACAAGGACACAGAGGAGGAGGGGTCTGATTTCTGGGACTAGGGAAAAGGATGACCACACTCTCCTACTGCAGGTAGCTTTTGTGAATTATGAATCTGCTCTGGCAAACGGGAGGTCCACTCTGTTGATGGTGACAGAACAGATTCAATGGACTTTGGCATTGGCAAAAGAGTAACGGATAATCATAGTGACCTCAAACACAGGAGACAAGAAGGACAACTGATGTTCTGGAAGAGACAGGACTCCAAAAGGGGACAAGAGAAAAATCCATGCAGTCGTGGACGGTACAGATCCATTGACTGAAGGAACATACAAGCTATTTTGAATCCTGTCCCTGTTCCTCTGGTCAGAGAATCTCTTCTCCTATCCACAGTGAAACTGTTGACCATCCTAGAAAAGTGTTGATGAGGACAAAGACCTGCTTGGTGTCAGAATTCCCTTCTTGGTTATTTCCACACAGTGGAGTTGAGACTCAAATTATCTTTTTTTTATGAACCTTCCTTTCCCTTCTGAAGATGGCAGAGGAAGTGCTAAGGCTCTGGACTTAATTCCTGTCTAATTTCAACACACAAAGTCTTTTTTCCTTCTCTATAACAACCAGGCTAAGAAGGAAAAACACAGAACGACTGGATGTTAAATAGCAGCCTTGAAAAGGGGAGAGAGAGGGCACAGCTTATCCTAAAGAAGGAGGACCCTAACAGCTTTACTAACTCCACACAAGTACTTTCCTCTTCAGCCTATGTGTAAGAAAAAGGGCCAGAGAAGAATCCTGCAAAGCAGACCTCACTGATACTTTCCCACTACATTGTTTCTGCTGCAGAGATTTGAGAATTGAAAGGGAGGGACGGGGGCATTCCTGCTGCGCCCCTCCCCTGAACTCAGGCAAAGACAAGGCCCTACTGAGGTGGATGGTGCAAGGCGTCCATCCTCTGGAGGAACGCAGTGTTTCTAGGAATGGGCTGGTTTGTTTCTGTATTCCTTTAATAAGTAAAGTTGTGACTTCTCATAGGACCATTGAGTATGAAGGAAAAAACATGACTTTCCCAATTAATGCAACTACTTCTAAAGAATAGATCTGTTGGCTCTAAATGCAACGATTCAGCTGTGGAGCGTAAATTGTTAATGTTTAATGAAAAACTCCCTGTATTCCTGTCAAGGAAGTTTTTGAGAAATTAAATTAAAATCTAGAGAAGAAGAATTAATGTTAAGAAGACAGATTAGTGCTTAGTACTGGGCAACTTGTTCTTGTTCCTGTGCACAATGGTTTGTGCTCTTACTCTTGTTTGATTACAATTAATAGCAAGTTAACCACTTGCCATAACCGTGGCACCGGTTCTAGTCAGTAAGTTAAGAAAGAATAGTCAAGGTATAGGCCAAGAGTCTGGGACATTTCTAACTATTATTAAAAGCTAACTAAGCGGAAACAGCTCAAAGCAATACGGGAATTGAAAGGAAAAATGCTTGCTTATGCCTAAGCCAAGAGACATTCTTCTGATCTAATTGTAGCTACGTAATATTTTGTTTCTTTGAATAATGATTCCTGTTTTGTAACCACAAAGTACTGTGAGCCTGCCAAAATGAAAAGTATATATGATCAACTTCACAAGTAAAGATGGGGATTCAGCACCTTCACTTTGGTGTCTGTGTTGTTTCTCCATCCCCCTTTCGCAGACTCCTCACCATCCTGAGACCCCCTGTTGGAGCTGGACTCGACACATTCCCTGCATAATCTGACCCTGCTTCCAGGATCTGCCTGTTTTGATTTCCACACAGCTTTGGTTTACACAGAAATGGCGGGATCTGTGGGGGCAAAGAGCATGTGATGTTTCAGGAAGAGAAGCTCAGAGGGCACGTGCTAACCTCCCCAGCCTTGCATGACTTTTCAACAAGAAACCCTGATGGGAAGTGTTGTTTTCCACTAGAGGTTGACATCCAGAAATCTTTGCCAGCTTAGTGCAAGGTCCGTGTTACATCTCAGGAATTTCTGGAAGAGACATATCCAAACTCGCTCACTCTTCCAGAGTCCACTGGACTGACTGCATCAGAGGGAAATTCCATCTCTCGGAAGTCTAATCCTAACTACATCTGAGAAGGTCTATCAGGTAAGTCATCTCGACTGTTTAACAAGAAAACTGTGTGAAGATATCTTTTCAGGTAAGGACTCCTCTCAAAAAGTAGCAGTCATGTAGAATCAACAAGTGTGGAGACGGATGTACAATGTGAGAGCTAAAAGCAATTAAGTGGTACTGCATGTGGGAGTCACGCTGAATGGATCTATTTTAGCTGTTCTTGTCAGATGCAAACAGATGAGTGATTATGTGGCGTGAATGGGGTATGCTTTAGTAAGCCTTCTTCCTATCGGTATATATCCCATAAGATCTTGTGTATCTTAAGTATACATGATAATGGTTTTGAGTTTTTTAAACATACTCTTTGCTTTTTTGCATTCCTTCCTCTCAAGTGAACCAAATTCAAATGCTAATACAGAGTTACGTTGAGCATATGCCCAAGGAAAAGGAGTAACTTCAACTTGAGAAACGTGTAACTGGCATTTGTTCTGTAAAGGACAGAATTCTTAGAGGTTTCTGCCCTGATCTAATAAATGAATGAGTAGAGATTTAGATGACTTTCTAGAAGCAAGTGGGTGAATGGAATATCCAGAGATTGGGAGACACTACAAACATGACCATATTGAATCCTTATGGTTACGTTGTAAGGTAGGCAGTTTTCTCCTTGTGACTGGTAAGAAGATTGAGCTTAAAGTCAGAAAGGAAATAAACAGATTGTTAATTTAAATTGTACAGCAAACAAATCAGACTTTAAATATTCCCCCTGTAATGTTACTATCACAATCTATATTGTCTTTCAAATTTGTGCTAATACTGTATATGTCATACATGAAAGGTTTTATATCCTAAATTTTCTAATTTTACTTTAACACTCTCCCACACCTGTATGTATTATATATTATGCCTGTGTGTATTATTTTCATACCTTAGAATTGCATTGCCCTGCTAAATCATATTTAACATTAATTTCCCCTCTTCTGGACATTGGAATTTTATTTATTATGTGCTCTAAATTCTATTTAGAGCAGTTTTGTTCTTCTAAATTGTTTTCTTTGGATTAATTTCCACTATGGGATTGGCAGGGTCAAAGATTCTGAAGTTTGCACACAAGGACATTGACATTACCCATTACCCAGGGCTGTTGGCTCCGATGACAGTGACAGGCTTTAGCACTTTTCAGTGTATCTTATTTAATGAGCATGATGCTCGGTTCTTAGTTTGTGTCCACATTCTTGGAGGGAGGGTGATTCCAAACTGAACAGTTCAAGAAATAGAGTTGCACGACACCCCACAGAGTTAACATCAAATTATACTTTGGATCTTATACTCATGTACTTTTCTACATAATGAGTGGTCCTGAGGGTTATAGTCCTGCGGGTTATGTCCCCGAGGCCTGGGAAGTACAAGTGAACAGAGAACAAGCCTGTAGGCATCAACATCTCCGAGCTCAGAGGTGAAGAAGTTTGTTGAAAGCTTCTAATCAAAGACCCCCTGGAGCACACCTGTCACTTGACAAACTGGGTTTGTTGTCTGTCACAATGTGGAAAAGAGCACACTTTGGGGGAACGGTGGTGCATTCACAGCAAGCATGCAGGAGTGGCTGGAGGTGGGCGACTTTGGGAGGATTCAAGGAAGCATGGTTTTGCTCTGGCAGGGATCCTGTCAGAGCAGGGCAAATCTAATTAACCCTTTTATTCCTGCAGCAGGAGGAAAGGAACAGGGGTATAGGAGTCACGGTCACATGATAACTGCGGGGAGGATGTCTGGCTGTTTTTGCTGATAAGGCTGACCTCATGTTTCAAGCATGAGCACGGAGTGGCCTTGGCTTTTAATTAATTTATTAATTTTTGTCTCACTCGATTGTGGTCACACCGATGCTCCTTTTCTGTGAAAACCTTATGTTTTAAAGGCTGCTCTTTTTTTGCTTTCTTAAATTCATAAGTGACCCAAAGTGAAATAGGGACTATTTTAGATGAATGATCTGAGGAGCAGAAAGCAGCAGAGAGACGAAGAAGCAAAGTGAAGGATAGTTCTCCTCTGACATCCACAGTCAGAAAGGGACAGCTCCTCAGGTCTATCAGTTGAGTCATCTTGACTGTTTAACAATAAAAATCAGCCTCATTTGTTGAAGAGACTATTATTCTCTCTCTGTTGAATGTCCTCCACATCTTAACAGTGCACATTTTCCCATTCCCCTGTGTATCCTTTTGAAGAGTTTCAACGGCTGTGCCTTTAACTTATCAATCTTTTCTTCTTTACTGTCTAATCCACTGTTGATCACATCCTGCCTAATTTTTATTTTAAATGTAGTGGTTTTTTTTATTTCCATAAGATCTCATTTAGCTTCTCACCATTCTTATGCATTTCTTTCTCTTCTTAAACACAAGGAGCTAAGTTAATGTCCTTATCTGTTAGTTCTAAGAGCTCTAGGTCTGGTAATGTTTATTTTAATAATTTTTTCAGGTAAGACAGTCATTTGCAATGACTATCACAAGGGGATGGAGGCAGGTGACTTTTGCCACAGGGGAAAGTTTGAGACCCCAGGTCCCAAGCATCTCCTCTAGACAGGTTTTCCACTGAAGATTTTATTTCTACTGATTGTGGAGGAAAGTTATTGCCGACTCTGCTTCTTTGCCTCTCTACTGCTTTCTGTTCCCCCAGACCATTCCTCTAAACCAGTGTCTTCACGTGTTCCAACTTTTTCATCAGATGCTTTTTAGTTGACAAAGTTTGTGTTAAATTTTGTTCTGATACACAATTATTGGAGTCAGTCATCAAGAAACAGCTCCGGGATGATGTTGTCATTGTTCATGTGTGAAAATAGCCAGATCCATGATCCTATCTTGTCCAGAAGCAAAAGACCCTTCCTGTTTTTTGAAACTCACACTTGGCCAGGGGTGTGTGTGTGTGTGTGTGTGTGTGTGTGTGTGAGTGTATACACACCAAGGATTGAACACAGGGATGCTTAACCACTGAGCCACATCCCCAGCACATTTTATGTTTTATTTTGAGGCAGGGTCTCACTAAGTTGTTTGGGGGCCTCACAAAGTTGCGGAGGCTGCTTTTGAACTTGTCATTCTCCAGCCTCAACTGTCCCAGTCGCTGGAGGAGTTTAGCACTTACTTTCCTGAACTCCAGATATCACCGTTCCATTACAGAACACAATGACACATCCTCTTTCCATGTTTTTTTTTCTTTTTTGTTGTTAGAATGTGATGTTCAGGTTAGTCCTATTAAATGGAATAAGTCAGATTTGTAAAAATGCTGTTTTTTTTTACCTAGTAATTTCTCCTCTACCAAGACTTTTACTAAACACTTCATGTGTATTCATTCATTTAATCTTCACAAAAATTCTCGGAGTGAGATAGTGCTATTATCCCCACTGCTTTTGAAGAAACCAAGGAATCGAGAGGTTGAGTAACTTTGCCAAGGTTACACAGCTTGTTACTAGAGGGGCCAAGAGAATCACTAATAGAAACTAAAATTTAAAAGATGTGGTATGTAATTTTTTTTTAAATGTGCTTATTACTTTAAAGTGAAACTGGTGAGTAGAATTAATCGAAGGGTAAGAAAAGGAAATGAAAAATTAAGAAAGGGACCCTCAGCTTCCTGCCAGTCTTATCTCCCCTTGGGGTTGGTGAGGACTTCAGGGAGGAGACAAAGATGGAGAAAGACTTGGCCATTAACACTGACCTTGCTGCGCTCGTTTCTGGATCTCCTCCAGCTCCTCTCACTCCTGGCTGCTCCTCGGTTCTCTCTCTAGGGCTAAGGTGTCCTCCACGATGTTCCCGCTGCAAGGTGCCCAGATGCTGCAGACCCTGGAGAAATCCCTGAGGAAGAGCCTTCCTGAATCCATAAAGGTGACAGTGGTACTGCTGTGGGGAGGAAGGAAGAGAAGCGTGACGTGAAAGGGAGGAAAGGAGACCCACATTCACGCTGCACCCATTTTGGAGCCAGGCACTGCTTTGTGTATCTCCTCTCCCTTAAGTTTTATCACCTCTTTACGAGACATTCGCTATGATGTCCATGTTATGGGTAAGAGAATGAGGGCTCGATGATCTGCCCCCTATGCCACCAATACTGCGTCACAAAGCTACGGCATGGACACAGGTGTTCCTGAGCCCAAACACTGCCTTTCATTCCGAGCCAGCTGAAAAATGTCTCCCCTGGATCCTTTTCAAGGAACATTCCTTAACCACACTTGAGATTTTCTCCGAGTTTTCCTCCAAAGTTTAGGTGACATTGCATGTTAATGTTTAACTTTGTTCACTTTAAAAGAACACTTGCCAGGTGAGAGGTTAACCGTCAGAGTCTCTTGGAAATCAGTAACAGGCTGATTTCTCTTTTGACCTGGATTTCCTAATTGTTCTGAACTGAATGTGTATTATTCAGCCATTTGGGCCTGGCTCCCAGTACCTCCCTTAACCTAGTAAAAATTGATCAGAAATCTTGAATTAAATAAAAACACACACATATAAATGTTCAATTCCAGAACTATGTAAGAGCAACTTACAAGATCTAGATTCTTGCTCCTGTTTTTCATTAGCAATGAAAGGGGAATGAGCTACTCCAGCAGAGCCTAAGTATAACTGTGTGTGTGTGTGTGTGTGCGCGCGCGCGCGAGTGTGTGTGTGTCTCTACTTAGAGGAAAATTAATTCTAGATTTGTATTGCTTTATAAGACACTCCTATAAAATACATACGTTTTTAGATGGACATCAAATTTCCTCATTTTTCTAACAGGTTTGTTATTCCCCTCTGACAAAAAGAGAGAAATATCAGCATTTTTATTTGAAGATTATATATGCATTTATTAGAAATCAATTAATGAAACAACTGGTCCTGTTTTTTAATTACCGCCAGAATTATTTCAAATCAACTCATCTAAAAATAATCTTAAAAAGAACCCCTCAAAACGAAAGGCCCCCATTTTTGGCAGCCTCTGCTAATAAGAGTCAATATTACCTAATATTCAACTGCCTTTGCCTGACCAGCAGGATTATTTTTGTGGAGACTCCATCAGTTAGACAGTCCATGGACACCAGCCTGAGATATTTTCATGAGTGACTATTTTTTAAAATATTCCAGGATAAAAAATTTTATTTAATGCTTTAGGATAGAATTTTGTAATTTAAATTTCTCTATTTCTTGTGGTAGTAGGACTCAACATTTTGTGGAAATTCGTGGTGTTTCCCATTGGTCTTTTGTTGGAGCAGTGGTGAGATGAGGGGGCTGGCTTGGCTCCTTACTTCTTATGAAGGAATAGCATTCCACTTTGGTTGTATATTAAATAAATACATTCTCCCTGAATGGAAATCAATAATATTTGTATGCCAGGTCCTATATATATATGACCTCTCTCTCTCTCTCTCTCT